ACACACACACACACACACACACACACACACACACACACACAGTACAGTCCAAAAGTTTGGACACAGCTTCTCATTCAAAGATTTTTCTTTATTTTCATGACTATGAAAATTGTAAATTCACACTGAAGGCATCAAAACTATGAATTAACACATGTGGAATTATATACTTAACAAAAAATTGTGAAACAACTGAAAATATGTCTTATATTCTTCTAAGTAGCCACCTTTTGCTTTGATTACTGCTTCACACACTCTTGGCATTCTCTTAATGAGCTTCAAGAGGTAGTCACCTGAAATGGTTTTCACTTCACAGGTGTGCCCTGTCAGGTTTAATAAGTGGGATTTCTTGCCTTATATACCATACTCTTGGTACCTTATACCAATAGAGCATCTTTGGGATGTGGTGGAACGGGAGATTCACATCATGGATGTGCAGCTGACAAATCTGCAGCAACTATGTGATGCTGTCATGTCAGTATAGACCAGACTCTGAGGAATGTTTCCAGTACCTTGGTGGATCTATGCCACCAAGGATTAAAACAGTTCTGAAGGCAAAGGGGGTCCAACCTGGTACTAGCAAGGTGTACCTAATAAAGTGGCCGTGTGTTCTTCCACTTATGACTGCATAAATTTAAGACTCCTCCTTTTTATCGTCACAAAAAAACTCAAATTTCATGACTGTATGCAGTCAGTGACACATTATGATTCCTAAWAATGTTTTACTGAATTACACACAGTCTTAATAAAAAAAATAAGTTACTTTCTCTCAGCTTCTCCATCTCCTTATTTCTCTGAAGAACAACACAAGTTTGCACCACACTTTAGAAAACGAGGGAGCAACTTTATTGTTGCATTTCATGATTAACTTTTGGAAATTTATTTACATCTTTTTACTGTTCATGCTGTCATTAACAGACATTATGTATTTTATGTAGTATATTTAACTAATCTCTGCTAACTGACCAAAACAAAAACATATTAGAACTCTTAAATGTTGCCAGTACAATTTACATTACATGTAAAATAGATTAAATTTGTTGTTATCACAACAATCACATTCACTTGAAATCAGAGTTTATTAGTTTCACTAGAATAAGACAATCAGACAGCTGTCAAACAGAAAGAAGCTTTTCGAAAGGGGAAGTGGATTGTTTGGTGGCAGTAAAAAGAGGATAGTAAGACGTTTAAAGGAGCCTGTCCACCTGGCTCTGTGTTAGTACAGGTGGCCATGCGAGCACACAGAGACTGGCTGTGTTTGCTCTGTTTCTGTAGGTTTATTCATGTCATCAGGACCAGGGCTCTGTAAAACAWACACACTGCATGTGATTGGAGAGACACATCTATGACTGTGTTACTTCTACACAGACACATTTAACGTGCCTTTGTCTGGGCTGCTGTGCTTTCTTTGGTTCTTGTGGAAGTTGTACCTCACAGAATGTTTTTGACTGTGTATTCTGGCTGTTATGTAGCCAAATCTTTTTAAAAACCACTAAACAGGTTGACTCAAAGAACTACTGATTGCTGCCACATTTAATCAACCTTAGAAAACACTACAATTGTTCCAGTTCAGTCAGTATTAAAGGTATTGAGCTAATATGTGGTGTGGTAGTAGCTGAAAGTCCTCCCCAACCTGTARTCGGATAGATTGCCCAACATCTGGACTTAAAACGTTGCCATTAACGATTAGCGTTAACTCTGTCAGTAAAGTAGCTCATGACCCACTGGATGGATTTTAATTAAACATTCAGAAAATCATAATTTTTGGAGTTAATTAATTTAAAGGGCCAATATTATGTGTTTCTCAGGCATGCATTTAAAAACAATACCATAATAAAGTATCTATGTCACCTTTAGCTGTTATTAAAATGCTGTTTTTATGTTTAAATAGAAAATAAACTTATCTTCTCATCACTTCCTTTTCTAAACGCCTTGAAATTGGCCTCTGTCTCTTTAAGAACCACCTTCTGCTTCTGTCCTGTCCCCGTCACCGGTTGGGGGTTGGGGGAGTGGTTTGTTTCACCCATGAGCTATGATGCAGTTTACTTGGCATCTGAAAATACATTTCCTCAAAGGTACTGTTTTTTGAATCTGAAAAGAGTTTCACTGAGTGAGAAGTAGTGTGGAGAGCAGCGGACAGTATACACCCTTACTATGAAAAGTCTGTGCGAAAACGACTGCCGATCGACCGCGTGACCGCGCGTCGACCCGTCGGCGTCGGAGCGAGTATGTTTCAGGCTTAAGTTTCACTTTCACTTTTGCTCTGTTACTGCCGAGAGCCTGCAGGAGTCATGGGCGGGGGTGTGTGGGGAGGGGGGCAGGGGGTGCGCTCTAACATGAAGAAGTTCAGCTTAAAGACACGTCCCAGAGGTGTTTCTGGTCCCCACCTGTCGTTTTGCTCCTCAGCATGGCTTCATAAAAACACTGCAGGATTTCTCAAACATGCATGAATGAGTCAGAGCAAGGCTTTGATGTTTTTTTTATGAGTATAACATAATAATATGATATAAAATTCAAAAAAGTTGATTTTACATAATTCAAGGTGGCTTCCAAATGTCACTGTCATGTTTTGCATTAACTAAGTGGTTTGTTTCATCTCTCTCCCTCCTTTCTCTGCAGGACAACAAAGGTTTTGGAATTGGTGAGTTAGTTTGGGGAAAGATCAAGGGCTTCTCCTGGTGGCCTGGAATCGTGGTGACTTGGCGAGCCACTGGCAAACGACAGGCCAGCCATGGCATGAGGTGGCTGCAGTGGTTTGGAGATGGCAAGTTCTCTGAGGTAGAGATAGAAAACCAGACAAATGGAAAAAACGGATTGCGACAACAAAAYGCTTGTGCATTTATCTGTGATTGTGATCTCTTTTTTTTTTCAGGTTTCTGCCGACAAACTGAACTCCCTCACAGCATTCTCCAAGTTCTTCAACCAGGCTTCTTACACCAAGCTGGCTTCTTATCGCAAAGCTATCTTTCAAGCACTTGAGGTAAATTTAAAGTCTTATTTGAGAGCGTTCTTGCTGCAGCTGTTGCTCTGACTGACAACTGGCAAGCTGGAGTTAGATTAAACCATCTGAATACTGTTGCCTTACTTTTAGCTTAAGAAGTGTTATTTATAAAATGTAGTTACTGGATGTACATCTACGGCTGTTTTGGAAACAAAAAGTATATAACTCTCCCTTAGGCTTGGCTGGTATTAATGACATATTGTGGTTATTGTGGTATTGAGGAGGCAGGGCATAGGGTGAGATGGAGGCAGATGATCCGCTGTGGTGAACCCTAAAGGGAGCAGGCGAGAGAAGGAGAAGAAGAAGAAGAAGAAGAAGAAGAAGAAGAAGAAGAAGAAGAAGAAGAAGAAGAAGAAGAAGAAGAAGAAGAAGAAGAAGAAGAAGNCACTCATTTTCACACTTTCCACTCCTGACACCTCAACAGTACCTCCCGCCTGCTCCTCTGCAGTGGGCTCCTCCGCTACCACTGCAGGTTCCGCAGCCGCCTCGGGATCCTCAGCCGTGGCAGCGGGATCCTCCGCTGCTCCAGCCTTACCAGGTCCGCTCCCCACCTGCTCAGCAGCAGCGGGCTGCTGCTTTGCACTCGGCGGGGCCGGCCCAGCCCTGTCGGGACACATTTTAATAATGTGRCKCTCCTGACCGCAACCGAAACATTTCATGCTAGAGGATGTAGCAAACAAGATGTAATCAAAATCATCTACTCTAACATGAAATTTAAGGTTGAGTTCCTCATCCTTTCGATTTAATACCATAAACAGTTGTCTCCTATGGGAGACAACATGTTTAAGTAAAGGTGATTTGCACCCAGAGGGTACTTTTTTCACCGGTGATACTACCTTACCGTATCGGGACAGCTCTTTAATCAAAAACTCGTCACTTATGAACGGAGGTACATTTGATAAAGTAACTTTAGTTGAGGGCAATGTTAGTTGCGTCACCTGTAAAAACAAGCCTTTCACAGAAACGCCCACCTCCACCAAGCGGTGAGCCTGCTCGACCTTCTCAACAAACAAAACGACAGCTCCGTTCATGCGAGCTGCGGATCTAATGGACCCATGTCCAATCACCTCCCCAACAGCGAAACAAACTTCCTCCACGCTGCACGGAGAACCAGCGCCCACCTTGACACCGTTCTTCCGTGTCAGCGTAGAGAAAGTCCCACCACCAGACACCATAGCGTCGTCAGACGCCGGCCAGCCAGGCACACTTGACGGCCACACCCGAACCCAAACAAAACAACCCTAAAAAACGTGACAAAACTAACACTAAATCACAACTAAACAATTAACATAAACACTCAGTGAAAAAACAGTAAGAAAAAACGGCAAGATAGTGGTTAAATACTCACTTTTTTCTCACTCTTCTTCAGCTCTCCACTCACCCTCCTCTCACAGGAAGAAGAAGAAGAAGAAGAAGAAGAAGAAGAAGAAGAAGATTTTTGATTTTTACAAAAACATTTATTAACAATTATCTTGCCAAAAATAAATATAGACTTCACACAATTAAATACACAAACAGGAAAAAACAAACAAACAAAAAACAACACAAAACAAACAAAAAATATTTACACTAGCAGTTTGTTAAAAACTAATTCTTTTTCCTCAGAAATGTTGCACAATACATTATTGAAACCCCACAATTTCAAGAAGCTATTTAGATCTCCAGTGGCTCTGTGGAAGCAAAACTCTAACCTRAACRTGGCCTTGACATTACATTTCRACAGAGCCACTYCATCAAGRTGAGGTCCATCCTGCAACTTGTCACGTCGTGTTTTATAAATAGCCATTTTTGCTTCTGCAATTAAATAATTTAAAAGGCGGGATTTAAAACTTGTGGCTCGACTGTAAGGCACACCGTATAAGAAAATAGAACTAGTAAAAACRATGCTAAAAAGGCTAAAAAATCTCGCTAAAAAATAAAAAGACCAGTCAAACGTGTACAATCCATAAAAACGTGAAAAACACTCTCGGACAAACTGCAAAACGGACACTCYTTTAAAACCCCAGGACTGATGACTGATAAAAACGAGTTTGTAGCAATGGCGCCATGAAGGATCCTCCACTGTAGGTCACCAGTCCTCTTTTTTATTGGAGGCTTGTATAAAGTCCTCCACTGTGGTTTCAGTTCTCCAAATTTGCCACTCCAGACACAGCTTGGCCTTCCATCAAGAGTCCTTCTGTTCATGATTTTGACACTGCATTTGTACAGTGCCTTTGGACTGGCCTTACATAAGTCCATTACTGGTACGTCACTCCGCAGTAGGGGCCCACTGTCTTGCTCGAAGCCTGGATCTAGGACCACGTCCGGAAACAGATCCTTCGGGTCAGGCAGGCACTCTTTTGTTGTTTGTAGCTGCAGGAGCCATCTCTCCTCAGCCGTCAGTCGCTCTGTCAGTCGCTCTAGGAAGCGCTTTACAAGTCTGGTGGACCGGACCCCGAGCAGCGAGGCAACCTCCAGGACGTCAGAAAACTCTGGGCCGGCTACCTGCACTAGACGCTGTAGGGTCACCGTCCCAGACCTGAACAATGCCTCAGACAGTCCCGGCACGCTGCTGTCAAGGACGTCCAGTCTCGCTCCACATACCAAAGGTTCTTCTAAAAGCCAATACAGAGAATTATATGTTTTTGCTCTTTTCAATTTAAAAAGAGCACAGGATTTAAAAACACCCTGATAYAACTGAGGCAACCCCTTTAACTTTAAAAGACTAAAATCAGTTAAAAACAGAGCAGCATCCAGGCCCAAAAAATTAACATGTCTGAGGATGTAACTGGCCACAACTGTCCACACAGGAGAGCTTGTTAAATATTTCTGTAAAAACTGTAAACGAAATGTAGCTGTTCTACTGGCCAGGTGGACAAGGCCCTGGCCCCCCTCCTCTCTCGGTAAAAACAAAACAGACTGTGGCACCCAGTGTAGCCCAGTCCAGAAGAAATGGACCATTTCTGACTGTATTTTCACTAGCAGGCCAGGTGGTGGGTCTAGGACAGAAAGCTTGTGCCACAGCTGTGATGCTACAAGGTTGTTCAGGACTAGCACTCTACGTCGATATGACATTTGAGAGTGCAGCCATTTCCATTTTGACATTTTATTTCTTATTTTTTGCTCGACATTTTCCCAGTTTTTACTAACAACATTTTTGCTGCCTGAAAAAACACCAAGATATTTAAAACCATCTCTTTTCCAGGTAAGACCTCGAGGGAGAACTGGGAGCCCATCAGACCACTCGCCGACTGCCAGGGCTTCACTTTTTCCCAGTTCACCCTCGCAGCAGACAGTGCAGAGAATTTCTCTGTGATATTGGTTAAAATGTTGACATCTTGTCGATTTTTTATAAAAACAAAAATATCATCAGCGTAGGCAGATAAAACCATACTGTTATTAAAACCAGGTAAAACCAGACCATGAACACTCGAGTGTATTTTCTGGAGGAGGGGTACCTGGGAGAGTGCGTAGAGCATTCCCGAGAGCGCGCAGCCCTGTCGAACGCCTCTACACACCCTAAAAGGAGCACACAGGCTACCGTTGATCTTCAGCACACTCTCAATGTCACTGTACAGTACCCGAATCTTGGCAATGAGACCCTCGCTAAAACCAAACCCCCTCATGGTTCTCCAMAGMAAGCTGTGTTCAACGCGGTCAAATGCCTTTTCTTGATCTAATGAAATCAAGCCAGTTTTTAAASCTAATGGACCGGAYACCTCCAAAASGTCCCGWATCAGGTAGATGTTATCTACCATGGACCTGCRYGGGACGCAATAYGTCTGATCCCGGTGGATGACCTGCTCCATAGCTTTCCCCYGCCTGGTGGCCAGGGCCWRGGAGAGGATRTTGTAGTCGGTGCAGAGGAGTGACACAGGARGCCAGTTCTTGATGTCCTGCAGGTTACCCTWTTTGGGCAGCAGGGTGATGACCGRCCTGCGGCAGGACAAGGGGAGTGAACCAGTGGACAGACTCTCATTGTACACCTCGAGCAGGTCTGTGGCCAGAATGTCCCAGTAGGTCTTGTAGAACTCAACTGTGAGCCCGTCTATGCCCGGGGACTTCTGGCCCTGCATGCTGAAGAGGGCTGTGTGGAGTTCTTGGAGCCCCAGGGGGCGCTCCACGTCAGAGTTGGTATCCTCGGAGACCTGGGGTAGTTCGTTGCAGAACTCCCTGAACAGTTCCTCGTTCTCCCTGTATTCACTGTGGAATAGAGAACGGTAAAACTCTACAGCCCTCTTCCTGATCTCACCTGGTTCACTCAGTTGCTTCCCTGTGTCTGACATCAAAGAGTGGATCAGCTTCCTCTGCCCATGCTTCCTCTCCAAGCTGAAAAAGAAGCTATAGAGGGAGCATCCATCTCCATGATGTTCTGGATCCGGGACCTGACCAATGCGCATTGGACTTTACTCTCCAGCAGGTTTGCTAAAGTTATTCTTTTAGATTTGAGAGCTTCAATATGCTCTCGATTTCCTGTGAGTTCACTAAGTCTTTCTAATTGCACGATGTTTATCTCCAGATCTCTGATAGATCTGGTAATGTCACAGGTGACATTCAGAGTGTGCTGTTGACTCAGCAGTTTTATCTGTACTTTTCCGTAGTCCCAACACTGTTTAAGACTGGTAAAATCAGACTTTCTTTGTCTAAAAACAATCCAAAAATAACTTAAAACCTACTTAAAACCCCGATCATAAGTTAAGGCTGAGTTAAAATGCCAGTAAGCGCTTCTAGGTAAAATGTTTTTGAAAAAACACTACCTAAAAGCAAAGAGTGATCTGTAAAAGCCACCGGTAAAATCTAGCATGTTTTAAATACATTAAAATTGTGTTTAAAACAATAAAAACGATCAAGACGGGCTAAAGAAATTCTATTTTCTTTAATGTGGGTCCATGTGTACTGCCTGGAGCCTGCATGCATCCTTCTCCATATATCCACCAGACCATTAGATGAGACCAGCTGCDGCAGAGCATGTTGGGCTGCTGGATGCGGCTCTGCATGATTACGGTCTAAAAACTCGTTTTCAGTGCAATTAAAATCCCCACCTACAAAAACATAATCCTCAAACCCACAATCACCCAACCGTTCCCCAATTTTCTCATAAAAGCGCTTTTTCTCTGCATTGGTGATAGGAGCATAAATTTTAATAAAAACTATAGTAAAACAATCAAACCTTGTCTGGACTGAAAGACACCTCCCCTGAATAACATGTTCAATTTCTATAGAGTTTGGGGTGAACGCTCCAGAAAAGAGGAAGCCCACCCCTGCACTCTGGGAGGTGCCGTGATTTAAAAAAGACCCCCCCCCCCCCCCCCCCCC